GTACAATGATCAAAAGGGAGAAGTTGGCATCGCTGTCAGTACCCTCACCGAACCCTCACACAGACCTGACTTAGATCTCACCCGTCTCCCACCCACGTCTTTCTATTCCAGGATCTAATCCAGGCCTCCTTGTGACACGTATGTCTCCTGAACTCCCGCCAACCTCTGACAGGCCTTCAGCCCTTCCTGTCTTCATGACCTTAACACTTTTACAGGATGCAAGTCAGGCAGTTGGTAGAATGACCTTCAGGTTTGTGTTTTTGTTTCAATCAAAACTGCCAATAGTGGTCTTTCTCTTAACAATATGTTCTTATTGATTTCAGAGAAGAAAGGAGAGGGAGCAAGAAACATCCATGTGATTGCCAAAACCGGTTCGGCTCAGTGGATAGAGCGTCAGCCTGCGGACTGAAAGGTCCCAGGTTCGATTCCGGTCAAGGGCATGTACCTGGGTTGTGGGCACATCCCCGGTGGGGGATGTGCAGGAGGCGGCTGATCGATGTTTCTCTCTCATCGATGTTTCTGACTCTCTCTCTCTCTCTCTCTCTCTCTCCCTCTCTCTCCCTTTCTCTCTGTAAAAAAGCAATAAAATATATTAAAAAAAAAAAAAAGAAGCATCCATGTGAGAGAGAATCATCTATTGGCTGCCTCCTGCACGCCCCCTGCTGGGGAGGGAGCCCACAACCCAGACATGTGCCCTGACTGGGACTCGTGTTCAAGACCATGTTCAACCAACTGAGCCACACCGGCCAGGGTGTATTGTAAATGTTTTCATTAAAGTAGAACATACCAACAGTAAATAAACAAAATGAACTATTACACAGTACACACACTTGTGTGTCTGCCGTCAAGGTATAGAACATTATACTGGCACCCCTGAAAGTTCCCTGTTCTTTCCACTCACTACCTCCCCCAAAGCATGACTACTCTCACTTGGAAGAGGAGGTTCCCACAGAAGCCGACTCCGGGGTTACCAGGCAGCTGGGACCCATCCATGGGGAAGAGGAGAGGAGGGAAGGCAAAGGGAGGGGAGAAGACAGAGTAAAGAAACGTGATTGGGCAGAGGCTGAAGCTGGGCTGAACTGCCGTCTCCACCTCTCTCTCCCTATGGTGAGCTCAGACGCTAGCATGACCCTTCAGAGTTCCCCCGTTTTGGGGCGAGGGCTCCAATACCCAGCCCGGGATTAGGGGTGTCACCGTGGGCCAGGCAGCTCTCTTCAGCTGAGACACTTCCTAAGCAGCACATTTCTGAAGGGGACCTCGGTGGCTCATTCCATTAGTCCGGCTTGGTTCTGAGCATGGCGTACCCGGCAGCACACAGCATGGGTGGTGCGTTGCTTCTTTCACTCACCATCGTGCACGGGAGGTGAATCCACGTGGTTTCCTTCCTTTTCCGTGGACCGTGACACACCTGCTCACCCCGCTGCAGCTGGGCCTTTGCTTGGTGTTTAGGTTTTGTCTATTGTGAACAGTGTTGCTGCGGACAGTCTTGTGCATGTCTTTGGATGGATACGTACATGCATTTCTGTTGGGTACGTACCTAGAAAAGGGTCGTAGAATAAGCATATTCAGCTTTATGAAATATTGCCAGATGTTTCCTAAATGATACAAACTGACGCTCCCACCGGCATTGTAAGAGACTGTTTGTTGCTCCAAATTCTCACCAAGATGATAGTGATTGGATCTTAGCTATTCTGGGGGGTGGGGGAGGGGCAGTGGTACCCTTAGGTCTGTGGTCGGCAAGCTGTGGCTCGCGAGCCACATGCGGCTCTTTGGTCCCTTGAGTGTGGCTCTTCCTAAGCCTTAGGAGTACCCTCATTAAGTTAATAACTTCTACCTACCTATATAGTTTAAGTTTAAAAAATTTGGCTCTCAAAAGAAATTTCAGTCATTGTACTGTTGATATTTGGCTCTGTTGACTAATGAGTTTGCCGACCACTGCCCTAGGTGGTTTTAATGCATTTCCCCAATGACTAGTAATGTTGACCACCTTCTCATTTAAATACTCTCATTTGTAAGGAGTCTTTGGCCGTTTTTCAGCTGGGCTTTCTGTCTTTTTCTTGTTGACTTGAAGTCTTTTGTGTCTTCTGGATGCAGGTCCTTTGCCAGACTATAAGTATTTCCTCCCACTCCATGGCTCACATTTCATTCTGTTATGCTTAGAGGGAAGACAAGTTTAGGGACATTGACTAAATATCAACAGCAGTGGTGTTTGGATGGTGGGTTTTCCTCCTGTTTACTTCCCCATGTTTTCCAGTAAAAAGCAGGTCATGAAAGTTTAAAACACAATAAAAGGAGTTATTTAAGGGAAATGGTGTGTTTAAAATGTGATGGTAAAGTTTAAAAATGACCCATTGCAAGAAGTTACCCAAGACAAGAACTTGGCCATAATTTGCCTTTAATGTCTGCTAGGTGACTCTGCAAATTTGCTAGGGACACCTAGTGGACACTGTTGGAAGTTTACAGGAGAGAGCATTTGCCATCTTTCTTGCTCCCCGGCATAGTCATCAGTTTGCCTCAAATAACCCCTGTAAAAATTAAAAAATAAAATTAGCCGGCCTGTGTTGCTCAGTGGTTGAGTGTCGACCTACGAACCAGTAGGTCATGGTTCGATTCTATATATGTAATGATTAAACAATTACTGGAGTATAAGGCAATTGTAAAAACAGAGGGGAAATTTTTAAAATCCAGAATGATTATGCTCTCAGATTACTTGGCAAATATTTTTCTAAAGAAATGAAAGTTAGAGCTCACACGCACACTGGCGTGGGTCATGCAAGAGAACCGATGCAGGCCTCCCTGCAGCTGCACTTAAAGGCGGCCCTGGCCTCCCTGCAGAGGCCGACTGTGTGAGAGATGTTCAGAGTACGTCTGAGTCTCTGTTCTATCCAGCTCCCCATCCTCCCCCACATCCCAGTAAGTTAGCGAACTGCCTGTTTGTATCGCACCGAAGATGACTGTTTTCACTGCATTTTATTGATAATTCACATATTCCAAAATGTTCATATGGACCAGAGCTTTTTCTTACATTTTTACTGACTGACTTGCAGGAGGGAGACAGCGAAACACCAGTTTGTTGTTCCACTTATTGATGCATCCATGGGTTGGCTCTTGTCTGTGCCCTGACCTGAGCTCGAACCCGCAACCTTGGTGCACCAGGAGGATGATCTAGCAGCTGAGCTGCCCGGCCAGGCACCAAAGGCTTTTTCCTGAGCCGCGCTCCAGTTCTCCATTCTGGTGCGCATGAAGGAGCGTGACCCACCCGTTTCTGCTCCTTCATCGTGTGCTTTGTGAGGCATGAACTCAGTGACTTAAAAATCAACCTGCAAAATTCAACATTAAATGGTGAGAACACACAGAGCGGGGGAAAGTAGATTTGCAGTTGTAATTCGAATAAATCAAACAATAATTAATAAATAATACAAGAATAAATTCGGTTTTGCGCACTCACAACTGTAAACCTACTTTTACCCATTCCTGTACAGTCAACCACAGAGCACAGTTCGGGCTCTAGAAACGATAGCCCTGTCACTAAATAAATTGCTGTGTGCAACAACGTACTGTTAGGAAGAGGTGGTTCTTTTCATTGGTTTGTGTTGTAAAAGAAAACGCTGCAGAAATCGACTTTGGCCGCCAGAGGGCGCGGGGTGGCAGGGACAAGGGCTGAGATGGAGGCCTGTGGAGGGCAGCTCTGCCCCCTCACCAGGCTGCTGGAGACCAGGACGAGTCTGGGACTGCAGTGGGGGGTGCCAGCCCACCAGGGACCATGCGTATTTAACTGTACCTCGGTTTTGTTTTTTAAAGATCCATGTCCATTTTTGCTTAAGAAAAGATCCCTTGTCATTTGGGCGGTGTGGGGGTGTCCAGAGCTGAGCAGAGGGCTGAGGAGGTCACCAGGCGTGGCGGGCGAGCAGAGGCTGGCCTGCCACGTGCTCCAGGACCGTGCTCTGTTGTCAGATGTGTGTGGGGTGCGGGGTGGGGAGCAGGCTCGGGTCCCAGGACATGGTTCCGCGGGCACTGAGGGCCCAGGAGCAGCTGGTGCTGTGTCTCCCTCTGGCTCAAAG